ACCCGATGGCCAGTTCTCGTGGACTGGCAGGTGTAGGCATAGCACTAAGCATGAAGGGCCGAACAAGCACTGCTAGAGTGGATCCCCGTCAACAGTCGTCTATGTGCTGTTCGGCTGAACGGCTACGTAAGAATCCGGAAAGATAGGGACACTCGTCGTTGCCTCTTCGTCGTCTCTGCCTATTCTCCCACTGACTGCAGCGCAGATGATGTAAAAGATGAGTTTTACAGAAAGCTTTCGGACCTTCTCCGAAAAGCTAAGCGCTCGGATGTAGTAATAGTGGCCGGTGACTTTAATGCTCAAGTAGGTAAACTAAGCGATAAGGAAAGACACCTAGGTGGATCCTATGGTGTCGTGGCTCAAAGAACAGATAATGGCGACCGTCTGTTGCAGCTATGCTCAGATAACCGCCTGTTCCTTGCAAATACTAACTTTAAGCATAAGGAAAAACATCTTTTAACATGGCGACCCCCCTAATTCGTCCAAACGTTGGACCCAAATAGATCACATCGCTATCAGCCACCGATGGAGGGGCTCGATAGAAGACTGTCGCTCATTCTGGAGCACATGCTTAGATTCAGATCATGCTCTAGTGCGAGCGCGTATTTGCTTGCGTCTTACTGGACGTAGGAAAGATCCTGCAAGGAAACCTCTTAGGGCCCTACTTAATGATAGTCAAGCTAAGAATATATTTCAGGAACAACTAGGAAAACAGTTAGGCAGCCATATATGTGATGCCCACCCCGATGCAGCATGGAATGATATCCGAAAAGCTGTGGAAACAGCAGTGATATCTGCTAGTAAGGTAAACCAGAAGGTTAGGGAGCAACACTGGATCTCAGCAGCATCTATCTCACTGATAAATGCTCGGAAACACATTCCACCTGGCTCTGAACATAATGAAGAGCGGAGTCAGCTTAAGCGCAAGCTGACAAGAAGTCTACGCAATGATCGCGAACAGTGGTGGGTAGCGAAAGCAAGAGAGATGGAAAAGGCAGCGGCAATAGGTAATAGCAGACAATTGTTTAGACTCGTTAAGGAAACCGGAATTAGGAACCCGACCGTTAGCGAAACAATCTCAGAGAAAGATGGGCATATTATTCATTCTCAATCCAGGAGATTGGATCGATGGGCAGAACACTTTAGGGATCAGTTCAACTGGCCTTCAGCCACACTTCGGTTTCCCACGATCTCCAGTCAACCTGAATGGCAAGTTAATGTAAGTCCTCCGTCCCTTTACGAAGTTTAAAAAGCCATAGGAAATCTGAAACGAGGGAGAGCAGCAGGCCCTGACAGGTTTACTCCTGAGATTTTTAAGGATGGTGGTCCAGTATTAGCAATGAGATTAACCGAGGTCTTAGGTAGAATTTGGGAACTGGACGTAATCCCATCTGACTGGTCTCAATCACTGATTGTGCCAGTCTATAAGAAAGGACAAAAGTCCTCTTGTGACAATCACAGAGGAATCAGTTTGACTAATATAGTGTCTAAAATATTGGCCTCAATAATACTTCGACGCCTAACTAAAGCTCGTGAAGAACAGACTAGAGAAAACCAGGCTGGTTTTCGACCTGGACGTGGTTGTATAGATCAGATATTCACACTACGTCAGGTTCTAGAACAGAGACACACATTCAGACGCCCCACAATGGTAGTATTTCTCGACCTTAAGGCGGCATTCGACTCCGTTGATCGTGAGGTTCTATGGCAGTGTTTGTCACTGAAAGGAGTACCAAAGAAGTACATTAACCTTATAAAGGCTCTCTACTCGAACACAACTGGTAGAGTGAGAGCTTATGGCGAACTGTCATCAGAATTGATTACCACAAGTGGTGTTCGTCAGGGCTGTCCACTCTCTCCATTCTTGTTTAACTTTGTCGTGGACGTGCTTTTAGAGATGACACTTTCCTCATCTAAATTTCTAGCGGTTGAACTCCTACCTTGTGATTCACTTTTTGACTTAGAATATTCCGATGACATAGTTCTATTTGATGAAGACGCTGACAAAACGCAGAGTCTTCTGACCACTCTAAGCAACAATGCAAGCATGTTCGGGATGTGATCCTCCCCCTCGAAATGCAAAATGTTGCTTCAGGATTGAGTTGCATCGACACCCGAACTAATGATAGGAAGTGAAGTAGTTGAGCGTGTTGACCGCTTCACTTATCTTGGGGTTCTCATCAGCTCTTGTGGTCTGGTGTGCGACGAAATCGCAGCACGGATACAGAAGTGTCGACTAGCTTTTACCAACTTGCGTCATTTATGTCGTAGGCGAGATATCCGTCTATCAACCAAAGGACGTGTTTACTGCGCAGCAGTTCGTTCCGTCCTACTTTATGGCAGTGAAACATGGCCGGTAAGAGTAGAGGATATCCGTAGGTTACTAGTATTCGATCATAGGTGTCTTCGAAACATTGCTCGTATATCATGGGACCATCGAGTAAGTAACACAGTTGTTAGGAAACGGGTACTAGGTAAGGATGGCAAATCAATTGATGACGTAGTGAAACTTCATCAGTTGAGATGGCTGGGACACGTGTTACGTATGCCCAACGACCGACTGCCTCGACGTGCTATGTTCAGTGGTATAGGAGTAGGTTGGAAGAAAGCTAGGGGCGGCCAAACCAAAACATGGCACAAGTCCATGAAGTCACTGACAAGTGAACTGAGTCATGTTGGTAGGTGTAGACTACCTGGTTGGGGACCGCGAGATGACAGCAACCGATGGTTAGAGACCCTGAATGACATGGCTCAAAATCGTTCGCAATGGCGCAGGTGCATCCACTCTCTGTGTTCTCCCAAACTCTAATCTTCTGAATTCTTCATGTCCCTTTTTCCCTCTTTCCAAATTTATTTCACTGGATTATACTCTTTAAATAACATCTCCAAACCCTAATCTTCCCGATTACTGCTTATACTCTTGCTACCTCTACCACTACGGGATTTGAATCGACCACTGCATCTCTGTGCTAATGTGGTGTGGCAACTCGAACTGATGTACGTACCTACGAAGTTCTACGTTGTTACTGACTGACTGACTGATGTCACCAAGGGTCTCCAACCATCGGTTACGAAAGTCACGCGGACCCCAACCAAGTAGTCTGCATCCACCAACATGGATCAGACTAGAAGTTAGTGTCTTCAAGCACTGATGCCACGTTTTGGTTTGGCCGCCCCTAACTTTCTTCCAACCATCTCCAATACCGGGTAGCATTGCACGTCGTGGTAGTCGGTGTTCAGGCATACGTAACACGTGGCCCAACCATCTCAGTCGATGAAGATTCATAACCCCATCAACTGGTTTACCATCATTACCTAATACCCTGCGTCTAACCTCACTATTACTTACCCGGTGATCCCAGCAGATGCCAGCAATATTTCTAAGGCATCTGTGGTCAAATACTAATAGCTTACGAGTGTCTTCTACTCTTAGTGGCCATGTTTCGCTGCCGTAAAGTAAGACAGAACGGACTGCCGCGCAGTATACCCGTCCTTTTATTGATAGACGGATATCTCGCCTTCGCCATAGGTGACGTAAGTTGGCAAAAGCCAAACGAGCTTTTCGAATCCGTGCTGAGATTTCGTCAGATACCAACCCATTAGGGCTGATCAGACTTCCAAGATAAGTGAAGTTGCCAACGCGTTCGACTACTTCACTCCCTATCCTTAGTTCAGGTGTTGACGCAGACCAGTCCTGAAGCAACAACTTGCATTTGGAGGGGGGGCGGGAAATGCATTCCGAACATTCTGTCATTTTCGTTGTTAGTTCCGTACTTATGGGACATTACTACTGGGGACGGATATCCGTGGGACAAGGCGAGGTGTGTATTTTTCGGGAAGACGGCATCGCTGTTGTGCTGGTTGTCTGAAGCAAACATCCTACTGCCATCACACTTCCGTACAGTTAGCGGTACTACTTCGCCTTCGGACTTTGGGTTAGCTGATTTTAATTTTACTGCTCTTCAACCGACATGTCTGACATGGCTGGACCTCGAGAGACGATTGTTCCAGGCAGTATAGCTCGATTTGTTCATTACGATAGGTAAGCCTGACCACCACGTCAAAGTGTCAGGAACAATCGGGGTCATCTATTCATTAGCCCAGTGAAGCAATTGAATTGAGTTATTACTCGCGTAGTAGATATACGCACTCTTTTCATTGTTTAATGATAACAGAGTTTCGAACACAGTGCAAGTTAGTAGAAACAGGGTAAATATATATTCGTAGTTAACCATGTATTCATAAAAGTGTAAACGAGTCTAATCACTTGGACCGATGCATATATGTGCCTGGTCATACGTTGTAATGTAGCCTTTCGACCGATATTTTCAAACTCACCACGTTTGGGATGTTAGTGTAAATCATACTGCTGTACGAAATCGATATTCAGTAATCTGTTATTTAATAATTTTTTTCCATAATTTAGATCACGAACTTATCTTAGTTAAAGCACTATTGAAATTTAGGAACTATGGGTAGCCATTTTGTTCTATTATGAGGCTCCTCAACGGTGCACATATGCGACCATGCATCCACAAGTCAAACCTTGGATTTGCGATTTTGTGCGTGAACATTTATATTTCATGTTACTGAGCGGATTTCAATGGCGTACATGTCTAATTTCAATCAGTTCATGATGATTGTTACGCTACTAAAATAACTATAAGTAACCAAAATAGTTTTGCAAATTTTTCCGCGTCATGTTGATTTTGATAAAGTCAAAAATTTATTCACGAATTTCCCTGTCAAGAATCGCTTGATGCTTAGTATTCTGTCTGAAGTTTCACTGTGAATGAGTTGCTAGTATTTCATAGATTGGATGAAGCTTTATGGCGTTAGAGGTTCAGTAGCATATGTATTTTGCGTACAATGTTCATCTAATGTTGTGAAAGTAACATTGCTTAATTTGTTACCCATATTTCTAATGTGATTATAATAGTTTTAACAATTATTTAAAAAGTATAATATTCCTTCTATACTTTGTTTGACATCTCTTTCAGTCCGTTTCGTATCGTCAGTGATTGTGGAGCTGCATTTGCTATGGGTACTATCGGTGGTAGTGTTTTACATTTTTACAGAGGTTATCGTAACGCCCCTTCGGGTTATACAAAAAAACTAGTAAGCGCAATGGTTAACAGTCGTCAACGTGCACCAATCACGGGTGGGGGGTTCGCTATATGGGGTGGAGTGTTTACAGCTGTCGATTGCTCTTTAGTTCTTGCTCGTCAGAAAGAGGATCCGTGGAACTCGATCACTAGTGGAGCTATAACCGGAGCCGCTTTGGCTGTTCGTCATGGTCCAACAGCTATGGTCGGTCAAGCATTTGTTGGTGGTGTTATATTGGCAATTATCGAGGGGCTTGGAATCATGATAAATAGATTCGCTCCTATGCTAATGCGTAAGTTTGCTACCTATATATATGTAAATATATAAATGAAAACGTGTTTCTCTTTTAATCTTAACAAATATACTTCTTTTGAGGCTTTGCGTATGAATGCATACAAGGCGTAGTGTTAGCGGGGTATAGATTGGATTAAAGCATGTTCCGTGCAGGATTGTGTGGGTAACGTTGATTGGCTATTTCTTAATCAATTAGCACCAGTGGATACTTGGAGAAGACTCTAGAATGTTATTGTGTAAATATTATGAATATATTAATGTTTTTCCTATGGTGATTCCTATTTACATCCAGCCTTGTTATTTGGAATATAATGACGTTCCTGTTCAACCGTGTTCTGTTTTGAGGACTTGTCGAGTGAAGTAGTGTCCATGAATACCAAACAATAAGAGTGAGTCGTAATAAGAGGATTCATAACACATAGTTCACATCTCGGCCTCGAAATAGTTACTGTATGCAGGGAGATCCCATCAGTCACCTCAAGATCCCAAATGTAATAAGCTTACTAGTGAATATGAATGAAACCACTGTGCATCGGTGCAACAGATTATCATTATTTAACGATTTCTACAAATACGATAAGACGTTTGTACGTATGCTTTCGATTTATCTGGATAATGAGTGACTTTATAGTTTTATGTGTCTTTTAAAGACAAGTATTTTAAATCTTTTTTCAACATGATGGTGATACGTTTTCTAAAGAGACAATTATGATCACGTTCAATGTAAGTTGCACTTGAGCTCATGCAATTTTTTGTTGGTTCTAGTGAATCTGTGATCCTCGGGGATATTTTCGCATATGAGGAGTATTCATACTCATTTAAGACTCAGGTGTTTATGTCATACACAAATCAGTTGCAAGCATCTGACATGTACATCGTCCAAGATGCCACTACATTATTACGAGGAAATGAATTTATCAAATTAAATACCTAAGCACTGGAAGTAGTAGATGTAGTGAATAAATTAAGCATAGAAAGAAATTATTCAGGCAAAACAAATTAATTTGAGGAGTCAAAGGTATGTATAAATTTGAAATGAAGATCTAAGTAAAGACAAGGAGTAAATACATTGGCGTATTTCGGACCAAACATCTCCAACTAGTGGTCATGAGAAACGCCCGAATCCCAACCCGATAGTCTACACTTACCAACATTTCTGAACTCATAATTTATGTTTATTTCCCATTAATCTTTTTCTGAGTTGGGTAATAGCTCATTAATTCAAACAAACAACCTAATTTAGATTCAGTTAGTAATTCCTATAAATTTTTAATCATTGTGTAACAGATTTATACACCGTACTTACCCACCTGTGATTTGACAAGCTATCAGGTAGTATATATGATTCAAAGGCGAATACTCGAAATTCTACATATGTTACGTAATCTCTTCAATAAATGAATGATATCTTTATTACAAAATCGAATGATAAATCACTTTCAATCCTCAGTTTACATTGCCTTACTAGATTAGTCTTCATAACTGTTTTTTTTATTTTATATCATTCTTTTGAATTTTCTCCTTTTGTGATTTCTTCGTCAACTTGGCATTTTTGAATATTTTCCCCCATATAATTTTGGGATGGCAGTATAGTGGTGGTTAGGTATCTTAGCTTTGTGTTTTCTCATTTCCAGTTATTTTATCTTTCCGTTCATCGTTTTCATCATTAGCATGTTGTTCAGCAGACAGGATTAAAAATAAAACGACTAGAAAATTAATATGTGTTCCCCTGCCACATTTCCAAGTCAGTTGACATGTACAACATATTTTTATTTTCTTTCTCTCCACTTTTTCTGTCTTTTTTTCTAAAATGTTTACTTTGTACATAAGCACAATGTAGAAAAGGCGAAAAAGTAACAGCTGCTAGAAATCTTTAGAAAATTTACAACTATAAGTAGTTAACTTTTGCTGCTATTGTTGTTTGTTTCTTTGAAGAAAAAAAAGAAAAGGCAAATTATCCACTGTATATATCAGAAGTAGTAATATTAGTAATAGTGGTTGAGTGGAGTTATGGTTTAGTAGTTAATCCACTCAGATTTCAGCCACTCATTCCCAGGTTCTGACGCCGCTCCACTTAGTATTTCGATTTGGGCAACCAGATAGTATCATAAGCACCCACATTTAGAGTGTACCTCTTACCTAAATATGAGTTAATTAATTGAGTTTTATTGGTAGTAATAAAGCTGAATTAATTTGACTGATATACTACATATTGGGTGATTGGATAGTTAACTTCATCCTATTAAAACATCATCACTACTATATTTACCCGTTATCTACCCTACATTTATTTTCATTAGTTATTTCATTCAATTTTAACAAAAGCTTGTTTGTATCTTACAATTTCGGAGGAAATATTTCCCTGTATATATATATATATATGCCTTAATAATAATCATTATGATGTTACTCAAATCTTTATGTAGGTATCTAAAGCTGATATATATATATATATATATATATATATATATATATATATATATATATATATATATATATATATATATATATATATATACTGATGATGATTGAGTTCAAAAGAAAATCCTTTTTATGATTCCGGTCATATTGTTCTAATGATTTAAAAATACCCTGACCCATTAGTCGACAGAATGGATTTATATACAAATTCACATCATTTTTGTATCTTCATTGTTCCCATCATTACTATTACTGCTATTAATTAATTAATTAATTTATTTATTATTATTATCGGTGGAATTCACCCATTCTAGACTTAGGTACTCCGTTTTATTTCTTAATCTTGTGTGAGTTTGCAAATATTATCACTACTATCTGTTTGGTCAGTATTGTTGAGTTTCTATTTTTATTAGATAATTTTCATTAGATACATGTTACATTCAAGTTTAAAAAAATATTTTATACTACTCTTATACACACATCTTTCAGTATCATATATTATTTATAATTAGTAACGACACATACATAAGATCTATATAACTGAGGGAGATTATTTTTTGTGTACCACTGAGTTACTAATTCTATTTAAAAACCTTTGATTCCCAGAATCAAATTTGTAAAATTTTTCATGTATAAAAACTCTTTCAGTTCCCTTAATTAATCAATGCTAATTAACTGTTTTGTTTCAGAAGCTCCGCCAGACGCTGTACCAAATCCACAAAATGATCAGTCATCAAGTCCAGGAAGGTCGTCTGGTAGTGGTGGGAGTGGGTTTTACGACTTTTTTGGTTCCACACATTCATCTTCAGAGGGAACTGCTGCAGAATCTGCTAGTACAGTATCACCGAAATCTGGATTTATATTTCAATAGGTCTACCACTTTGTTGTATAATTCAATAGTGGACTTTGTTTACTGTCTTCCATTCATGCTTGTGTATATAAAAATAAACACGTTAGTGCATTATTCAATAATAGCGACAACAATAGGGATCATCGTAGTTCATCAGCATTCCCATCTATATTCATTCTGCTTTTATTAGTAATGTTTTTTGCTTTTTAATTATTACTTCATATTAGTTATGTAAAAAGAAAGTTAACTCTTATGACAGTGTATACATTGATCTACTTCACTGTTGTTTAAAAACATTTTCAGAGTGTTTAAATACTTCTATTGTCAACTTCATCCTACTTCTGTCAACTTTGCCTTGTCTTAGACTAATCTGTCTTTATATAAGTACATTGATATTAAAGTCTGTATCATGTTTATTGTTATTTCTTCTCAAGTTGGTTGATTACTTCTGTTTTTCGTCATTTTCCCCCATTCTTGTGTCCGTGCACATTCTTTAATCTATTACTTTAGTCGTTTTATTCTCGTCTTTGTTTCTCCCACAAGGTAGTCATCTATCTCTGAGCTTTTGCATATGATTGTAAAATTCAAATATAGTCTTAAAGATACCATCTTTTCAGTTTACATTTATAGATCAACTTGTTGCTTAGTTTTCTTTTCTATTTTTAGGAATTCATTGAATGATATCTGCAACGAACAGTTTGTGTATTATTGTTGATATTTTACACATTAGTAACATTTTTGTAGTCTATTTGAAGCTGTACGATAATGGGCTTCCTAAATGGATAATTTGCACTAATCTAGAAAGTTTATTTGCCTGAAATAACTACGATATTGACGTAAATTTCTAGTGGTCTCGGTTACTAGATTTTTTGAGCGTTAATGAGTACAAATAATTTTACGAAGTATGATTAAAAACATGGTTTAGAGCTGTTTTGTTTCAGTTAAGTATTTCTTAGTCTCAATTTTAAGGTGAATATTTGTTTTTAGCTGGGTAATACAAGCATCCATAATATTACTACTACTATATGAAATGATTCCAAATCTTAAAATAATCGAACGTCGTGATGACCCGGTTGTTATTACACAAATTAACATATTGACCTAACGAATGAATGCAGCGCAAATGCTGTTCACCGGATCATACACCATAATCTCAATAACTTTCGACTCACCTCCCAATTATTGAAAAGACAAAAGAATTATAGTTTCATTCTCTGCTTCAACCGACTGTGATACATGGAGTGCTTGTACGTGTACGCCTTTTGAGTGCACTTGAGAATTCACCATTTTGGGTGCATGTTTTACGGCACCTGACTTGATAGTACACATGCTTTTTGAAATCGAAATGGCTATTTACCAATGCTATAACAGTTGCTCTTCACTTAATGTGTTGATTAAATAAAACATTAACTCTAATTGACAGCATGGTATTTGGATCACTGCGTCCCGAAATTGAATACGCGTCATTCAGTTCTTGATACTGTTTTTACCATCACAACGTTAAATAGTAGGTTTTAATTTGAAATATGAATTGAAGAGTTTACACAATTTAATACATCTGTATAGATCCTTATCAGTTACTATTTGTTCACTATCAATCTCATTTGGTTGGTATCTACTACAGAACTTTCTGGGTGGTGGAAAGGTATATATATATGAAAATAATAATTATAAAATATGGAATATGCATTTCGTATGCAGACTCCAAGTGTCGTATCACAGATAAAATTTATATTGTCTTAAAGAGTTGGACAGATTCGTTAACTTTAAAGTGGGTATCTGCTGCTGGATCGAAATTAGTTTATTGTTCAAGGATAGGGTTCCTAACAGACTATCTACTACCCTTTTAAAACCAAGCTGGAATGTGTTCTCACATATTTGAAATGAGTAGTTATGGCTAATAAAGTGTATTCAACATGGACTGGTAGATGCAATTGTAGAGAAGTAAATGAAGATTATCTTCCATTCACAACAGAAAATGTTTGAGGTTTGTATAAATTAAAGTTCTAATCCCAGATAGTCCTGTTTACAATCTATCAACCGGTTACCAAATGTTACAGGAACAAAGAACATGGTCTTAAGTCAAATTGAATGTTTCGTAGCTAAAAGGTTTATCACTCTATAAAAACCATTTAGTTCTAGAAATGACAAGCAATGAAATATCTATCTATCTATATTCTTGCGACATATCACAGTTCTGAAATGTAAATATCAACTTCGGATATAACTGTGTTTCGGGTATGTTTATTTCAAATATGCGACTTACCAGGTACGGTAAGACTGAATAGATGAACATTATGTGGTCTTTGACTATTGCTCATCAAAAGACGGTTAAGAAGGTGTTTCTGAGCTCAGAGAGTTAGTTAACTTATATGAAAATAAATAAAGAATTTATTTAAATCGAAATAGACAAGCATGCGTTTGTAAAAACGCGCATGATGAAAAGTCAGGATTAAATAAAAATGAATACATACAATCTAAAAAATAAGATTACAATTAAGTATGAAAGGGTTAGAAGAGTCAATATCTTAATTTGTATCAGTCTGTCATATCACTTTACAATACGATCGTAAATCTGATAAAGTGTCTATCATGTTTTATGTGTATAAGCGTAGTTACATGGAAAAGGACAAATTATAACCAATCATGGATAAATCTACTAGAACGAGCTTATTTTACGCTTGTAGAAGAACTTTACATGAAGCAGACATTAATGATATCCGGAACGGGAATGAATAACTTGCATTTAAACCGTCTAGTTCAGAAAGAATGGATAACAAAAACTCACCCTACTGACTAACACTCAACTTTGGTTACCTACTCAGTCATTTATTGTATGAAATCAATTTTCAGATATTGTAAAGATGAGATGTTATAACTAGCGATGATTAATGATAAAATGAATCACATGTATGGTCCTTACCCTAACAGCATAAAAGAGTAAAAGTTAGTTTTATCCTTGTTTGACAAGTAAAAGGTATTGTAGCAAAGTACCGATTGCAAAACATTAAATAAAATAAAACCCATTAAAGTAAATAACGGCACTCCGAATTGAAAATTGTTTTGTAAGTCAATCAAGTCTTGAAAATGCGTTTTCGTAAGTAATTATTTTGGCGTCAATTTTCGTGTTATCTTTATTGCTGATTCACTCGGATACACGAAAAAGCTATGTAAGGTGATTACGAACCTTGAAATGCAAAACAACTGAAGTCGTCGACCACTGTATTCCGACTCTTTCACTGAATTTTGTCTCTATCGTTGATATATTAAAAACATCTATGGAGCAGATGAAAGCGATGGAGAAATGGCTACTTATTAGTTTTCAAAATGTCTGGTTCTTCAGTTTTTATAGATTTTTTTTACCTTAGATTTCAAATATTTCTGAAAAAGTGGATCAGTCTAAAATAAGGATGAAAAATCTCATTAACGCTTCATAGTTTTCAACTGTCCTTTATTTAATATCAGTTTTAAAATACACGAAGCTCTATTAAAAAACCTACTTAGTCGATTATCTTGTCGCAAAAATTGTACTTTTTCAAATGAATTATACCACACTAAAGTCACACTAGTTATACTCAAATTTCACTATATTTTAAAAAGGTGATGTATAAATTATTAAAATGTATTTTTACATTATTACAGTTAATTATAAATGTCTGTGGTATAAATTTTATACCATTTAAAGTATAATATCTGAAGTTGTGACATGAGATCTTGATTTTCTAAATGTTATCTTACTTTCGCATGGCTAAAGTTAATAATACCATATGACGTAACAAGTTAGCTTTATAATATAAATCACATTTGCGTTTAATATGCATATATGTATAGAATTAGATGGTGGTTGGAGGTAGTCAATATGAAACCCTGGACCTGGGTTTCCTGCTACTTGGCACTCGTCAGCAAGGTGTACCTGTAATCTTGAAGGAACTGGTGATCCCTGACGGATTTGATCCCGTGTCACTCGGCTTCACAGTCAGAGACGTTATCACTGGGCTATCCGGGCAGCGACTGACCTCCTGTAGGACCACATCGCAACTTGGTCGATAGCATTCGACCTGCACTAAGAAGGTCTTGACACACATGACGTTGATCACCACCTAGTGATCAATCAACTGTAATGTATAGAATTAGTTAAAATAAGTCAATTGATCTCAACACTATCCGTAATTGAAATAAAATTTTTTTTATTTAAACAATAAAGAGTATCCATAGTGAAAAAATAAATCCTTAAATAAGGTGTTTTGGTGTGATGAATTTGAAAAAGATAGATTTTTCAAATCAATTTCTACTTAATTTATGAAAATTAACTTCCGGAAGTGAGTCCTAAACATAAAATAAAATTCCAATTATTTATACGTTACTTTATTGAGTATTTCTACTTTTTCCCATAGTTTCTTTCATTGTCCATAATACTTTATGTTATACCAAGCATTGTAATGTACTTTATAGGTTAATATGCCTTAAATTCATGAAGTTATAACTCGATATTCAATGAACTAATTACCCGGTAGATAAGTTATTTTGATATACAAAAGAAATTGATTTCAATCATGTTATTCAACTTTTTTAAAAACAAATTAGTTGTTACTTCACATTTTCATTTATGTTTAACAAATATACTTTTAATTTAATGAAAAGTATGTAGCGTGTTATACTAGAGCTCAATTGAAATTTAAGTTAATTCACCTTAGTATATTAACAACTGAAGAATTTAAAACTGTACTATTGGTAAAGAAGCGTTCTCATTGAGTTTCATACATATGAATAATTTGATTGAAATACAGTTTACAAATTGACTTACTTGAATTATGAATACTGACAAAAATAAATTAACCATTATTCTCATAATAATTTAGTAGTTGTATTCATGAATCAGTTGAAACTAGACCATCGTAGAAAGCCTGGAAGTACTAGACAACCGTTTCGTCACATTGTCAGGATCCTTGGCAGTGCACATCCACGATCCAGCCACCCCCTTCCGCGAGATTCGAGCACAGGACATATTGGTCTCGTGCGCG